TTGGTATTTCGGTATTTATTCATTACAGAAATGCACCCATTGATTATTGATGATCATGAAAAATGACATAGAGTTTCTATCAAGAAATCCCCTGTGTACATCCTTTTCCTGATTATTGTTCTTGCTAGGAATACCACAAAATAATTTAAGAATAAAACTCCACGCAACTAACAATACTTCAGTCTATCTGTCTAAATTTAATCAAAATAAGCACATGTCATTTAAACCCTTTAAAATTGATTCCAACACTTAAAATAATGGTAACATACCAGTTTGTATTGTTTCTGCATTATTTCTGGAAAGTGTGAGAATTGTCAATCACTATAAAGTTCATAAGAGACCGAAAATGGCTTTATGGGTACCCCACCTTTCACATTTCACATTTATCAATGGATGCCAAACTGCAATGTTGTAGCTGAGTAAGCTCCCATAAGCTGCGAATGATATGACCCATTCACCTCTAGTGGCTGCAGACGAGAACTATTCTTGTAAGTGATTAGCTTCAGTTATGGACACATTTGTCTCTTCTCAAGGGTGCCACTCACATGAGCATCTATTCTAGTACATGTACGTAGCTCCAGTATCACATCAACTGGCTTGTGTATGGGTGTGATATGAGAACATTTCATCTGTCTTTAGCCTCCCAAGCAGACATTCTTATTGGTTTCTTTTTTGTTGTTGTTTTAGTGATGAAAGTGTCAAGTTCTTTTGCTTTCAAGTATTAGAGCATCATGTAAAAACAAGGTAAAATTAAACATTGATAATTTCTCATTATAATGATTAATAATAAATTTTACATAATTATTATAATGTGGCATCCATTTTAAAATTAATCTTCCTTCCATGGAAAAATCAAAAAGGTTTTATTCTGTTGGTTGATCTGCCATTTTAAAGTTTTGTCTGCCAAATTATTCTGAATAACTCTTATTAAAAGATGTTATCTGAAAATTTAATTTTTAAATATTTACTCACTTGGCTCACTTGGTATGATATTATGTAGGCTATTATGACGAAAAACATTCAACTAGAGACAATTGGGTTTAATTGTTTTCTTACCAGGAATAACTTACAAACATTTGATCATTAGCTGTATTCAGTATAAACATGCTTCAGTCTCCTGTACTGTACAAGACATCTTGGATGATCTTGTCCAAGTGTGTGATCCTGCCCAAAAAATGGCTATTTTTTTTTTATTTTTTATTTTGTGCACAGACATGTGTCATCAAATCTTGTAGATCAACAAGCACTCAGAGAGATTCTTTTGACCTGGCTGCGAAATCAGGTACACTAGGCTAATTTACTCTACAGTAGAATCCCAAGGAACATTTTCTCTTTTTTTGCCCCTCACCCTAGATTGCAATGTCTGTCTTTAGGTGAAAAAGGATGTCTTGCTAATACCTTTGACATATTATTATGGCCTAGACTCTCTGTCTGTCTTTCATCAAAATTGAAACAACTTGTTTTATGTCAAAAGGTAGAGCAAAATTGTCAAACTTTGTTTTTTATAGTTGTGCAAAGATACCTAAAAGTGGACATAAGTGCATTGGTTTGCAAAGCCATGACAGTCTTACTAGCACCTTTGTTCTTTGAATTCTTATACCTACACTGTAGTGGTAATTGTAACATTTTCACTGTGATTTTTCATTGACCCTTGATGTAACTTTTCAGTGTTGTACCGAGTCAGATAACAAGAATTTCTTGAAGAACAAGGCAGCACAAGTCTTTAGCTTGATCTTTGTCTGTGATTATCCTGAGAAGGTTAGCTGATTTATTGTTATTTTAAGTGTAATGAGCGCGAATACTGATACCCGAAATTGTAACTTGCGTTCAGATTTCATTCAGTGTGAGAGAACTTCATTTAATTTCCTGCCTCTTTCACAAGCTCAGCCAGCAAGGAAAACATTTTTTTTGCATTTAAGGCTATTGATAATCAGGTAACAACTGCGACTCTTGATGAAAGTGGGTGCCCATGATGACCAGGGTCTTGCACTTTTGTCACAGTCAGCCCTTAGACAGTGTTATGCCCTCATGGCTGGTAAACTCGCGCCTTCCAGCCATGAGCCCCTACACCAATGGAACCAGGCACCTGTGGGAAGGGTTGGGGGAAAGGCACAATCCAAAGGCTGAACAAAGCGAGTAATCACCTTGAAAGCATTGCACTAAGCACATGGAGCTGATGTTAGCAAAGGTGACTACGCTTGGGCCACCTCACTGACTGCTGAGCAACAACACACAATGGCCCTCCTTGTTATTAACTGCGTTAAATGTTGTTTCACTTCATGTTACATTTCTCTTCTCCCTGTAGTGGCCGCTGTTTTTCTCAGACCTCCTCCAGTGCTTGCAATATGGAGCATTAGCTGTGGATATGTATCTTAGGATTTTGAAGGCAATTGATGAGGAAGTGGTTGATAGAGATGTGATAAGGAGTCAACAGGTTAATTTTGTGAATTGTTTTAAAAACTGTAATGCTACAATTTCCATTGGTGAAAATATATCTCCAACAGAGAGGGGTACAATCAAACAGAAATTGATAACCTATTCAATCTATAAAATATTGTACTACCTGACATCTCATACGAGCAGCTTGCAGCCACTGAAGCTGAACCCATTTTAGTGGGTGTCTGTAAAGCGGGTTTGGACTGTACCTAAATTTTTTATTTGCCTAATATAAAAGCTTGTTAAAGTTTGTCATTCAAGTTGTTTTTGTTGTGACAAAGTCCACCATGCCACCCACATGAAGTTGTCGGTGCTAATATGATTCGAAACATGCTGTGTAAAGGGCTACGCTGTAGATGTGTGAAATTGCTCCTTATGAAAATCAAAATCCTTTGGAGTTAAAACACTGCTTCTAGAATCTTGCTTGTCACGTCTTGAAACTTGTGTAAAGACTCAACGATTTGATTTAAGACTGTCAACTTCTGTGGAGTTTCAGTCGGTTGTACTTCTACAAGTTTGTAAAACCATTTACTGATCAATCAGTTTAGAAGCTGAATGAAATTTTTCTTCCATGGACAGGAAGCAGAGAGGAACACTAAAATTAAAGATCACATCTGGGATACCTGCGTCACAGAGCTCGTTGACTCTTGGTTTCAGATTCTGGTAGGTGGGAATCTTGTATTTTGGTACAACAATGAGGTTGAGGTTTCGCTGACTGTTTTTTTAAATTATGTTTTGTATGCAGAAAACATATGAAAATAGTGTGTCATCAATAACATGCCTTTGCCTGGACATTATTGGAGCATATATTGAATGGATCGATATTGGCCTAATTGCAAACGGCAGGTTTATCAGGTAATGTTCATTGTAAAAGGGGCAGAGTAAAGTTAATGCAGACTGTGGACTGACTGTAGACTATGCGGAATAATATTTTTAGGGTTAGAAAACAATGGGACTTTTGGTGAAAGAATGAAAGATGGTAAAATTTGAATGTACACCCTGTGGTATAATTTATGGCCTCCCTCTCCATGAGTTCTGCGTAGGTCAAGTGGATAGAGCATCCGCCCGGTGTTTGGGAGGTCATAGGTTTGAATCCTGTCAGGGACTCAGATTTTTTCTTTGTCCCACGCTCGTGACATGCTGATTATTTTATTTTTCACAATATTACTTTTGTTGTCACATTGTCATTTGCTTTGTGAAAACAATAGTCATCAGTCTGTGTTTTACGCTGACTGATGGTAAAAATGTTTCCTTTGCTCTGTGTTATTGTTTCCTTTCAATTCTCATAAAGTCAGTTTTTGCAAGTAGTCTGTCAGTGGTTGAAGTCAACTGGCAGCTAATGATATGGAAAAGCATCATTTCTCATTGCTGAAAACTGTAAAAAGAGGATTTTACTATTAGCATGACCTTTGATTTTGTGTCCTGCTTACAAATTGATCATGTGTCTTTGCAGTACCTTTCTCCGGTACATGTCAGTTGAAGTTCTTCAGGAGAGCGCTTGTGATTGCATACATGAGATTATCATGAAGGGAATGCAGGAGCCACTGGCAAAGAAAGAACTGGTGGAATCTCTTCTGAGTGTTCTGGAGAAAAGCAGTAGCCTTGAACCACAAGAGGTACATGAATTCATGTCTAAGCGTAACATGTGTGTTGAAGGGTGTGAATTAAATACACGGTTTCCTCCATATTCCCAGGGGTGAATGGCTTAATTTAATTTTTGTTTAATTTGTCATTTGAATCATCACTTTTAGGATGAAGATGCTGACTTCATGGCCAAGTTAGCAAAACTGATGAGTGCTTCAGGATCACAGCTTCTAAATAGCTACACAAAGTAAAAAATTATTGATTTGCTAGCAAAATTCCAAAATGTGTTCTAGTAAGACACTACTTTAGAGAGACTGAGAGTGGCGTTGTCAGGAAACAGAAAATGTCAGATTCAAGTTGATAATTAATTTTCTAAAAATTAAAAACGTGCAGCTAAAAACAAGACATAACTAATGTGAAGCTACTAAGTTTGTGGTAACAGTAGTAAACAGTACAGCACAACGAAGTTAATTAGGGACAACTTGGTAACGTGGTACAAATTTCATGTTTGCTGTAAACACAACTCGACCTACATGTAAATCTCTCTACAATCCTGGTCAAAAGTCCTTGGGACAGTACTGCAATATTCATATTTTTCTGTCATTTCTCTGTTCCCTCATTAAAGCAGTGCATCCTTTTCGAAATTTTCTTTCAGTTCTCCCTCCCCCCAACCCTATACAAAGTTGAAATTTTGAAAAAATTCTGGATACATGCGTCCAACATTGTTTGTGGGGTGAGGGGAGGGTTGGACCCGTGTGAACTTGAAAACGCCCCAGAAATGCAAAGGTGTCCCTAGACTTTTGTCCATGATTGTAGTTTTTCCTGGCTTTTCCGTCAGCTAATCCTTCCTTTATCCACTTGCTCTTTCCTCTGTGTCCTTGCACCCTCTGCCCGCCTTCATCTGTACCTCCACTCACTGTCTGTTGTTCCTGAAGTTAAATGATGGCCTTCATAGTCCTACATTGTAGCATCAGCATGACTCTTTTGGCAAGGAACTGACAATGGACTTTCCTTTACTTACCCTGAAAGTTCTAGTGACACTTCACAGCCCTTTGGAGAGGGAAACAATTATTACTAGTAATAGTTGAGACTACAGCTGGTCCCGCTCTGTATATTATCAGTCAGTAGTATTCTTGGTTGTTGTGTAGCTCTTTGAAATAATACCGATTTATAGTGAAGATTTTCACACATATTCCATACAATCTGAGTTGAGATAAAAACAGGAAATGCAAGGTTCCTTGCACTGATTCAGTTCACTGATTCAGCTTTGATCACAACATTCTCAGTTTCGAGAATATTTTACTCTAAACCATTAGAAAAGATATGATTAGAAGTTTGAATTTTTCGCTCTGATTTCTCTTTCCGTTTTTGCATACAGTTCATTTTATTAGCCGAAAAGGAAGCCTCAGTAATTAAAGGTTTGATTAATTCAGGCTCGCACGTTCTAGTCATTTTTTAACTATTAAGACAACTTCGTTATGTAAATGCCCCCAAAACTGACTGACAAGTCCCTTTGAGACTCTAACAGTGATTGCACGCTAATGTCATCAACATTATTTCCCCTCATAGATTTCTAAAGAATCCTTTGACCATCTCAGAATTTATCGTGAAGTTTGCTAAAAAAAAAAACTTCTATACTTCGTCGTGTTAAAAGGACACTGACAGGGAATTGTCAGCGTTGCTCATCCACTTTTGACGGTGAGTCATTTTTAAATCTAGATTAATCCCTATATTAAAATCTCGTCTTACCGGTATTTCCTTTTTCGAGTAACTTCCACTTCGATGAAGTCTACTTGAACACACCTTCTGTCATTGTCATGTGATAGAAACTCGGCACTCTGATTGGCTAAAAAAAGTGTACTTGTTTGGTTCATGATCATCACGTGGTTGAAAACTGGCGCTCTGATTGGCTGTTTTGCGTACTGAATTGTGGACCACTAAGCATAGCTTTTTGAAAGACCAAAGGAGATGACATGAGTTGCCAAAATAGTTTTGAGTTTGGCTTCAACCCTTAAACTCCTCTGAAGTCAAAGACCTTAGATTCCTTGCTGATAAACTGTCGTTCATCCTCAACGTTGTATATGTTAGTATTAAACAACTACGTTTGTTAGTTGGCAAAAAATTGTCCCTTACTTATTAGGTTAACAAGTTTTTACGGCGCATTTAACCCTTATAGAGTGTTTTCACTCACGTGACCGGCATCTATGCAAATTTATTGAAACAAAAGAAAGTGGAACACCAATATGGCGGCCGTGACGTCATGTGAAAACGCTCTATTAATAGACTGTTCTACCTTATGATCAATCTAACATCCATTCATTCACGTAACATTTATGGCAGGATAGTGTTAAAAAGCTGGAAGAAAATGTAGCTCATTTTGGTAGAATATCAGAAACGTTGCTCACCAAATACGGAAAGGTACTACACTCTTTAATTTACCTACATTACATATTTTAACTATTTTTGGTATTAACGGACTCGTTAAAACGCTTTAAAAAAATCAAACTTCTGTAGAGCTAATCCCGCCAACCAAGACAATCTTTTGCGTAAATTTTAGGCGCGTAAATAAAATAGAGACATTGTATGGAAGGTCACGCGTAAGAGTTAAAGATGAACCTCGCTAACGTTTATGTTTCCGAGTGGCCTTTCATACATTGCCTCTATTTCATTTACGCACGTAAAAATTACGCGACAGTGGAAATCAACCCTTCCAGAGATCGCGCCGAAATCACCCTTCCCAGACGTGACCAGAAGCCCTATCCGGTAGGATTGTCGTGACGGCGCGACAGATATTAGTCTGCTACACAGCCGTTTTTAGTGTCGTCACGCAACGCTCCTCCCCGTGACAACACTAACACGGCTGTGGCTGTATAGCAGACTAAACAGATATTGGTTATAGTATGAACATAGCCTAAGTCTGACACATTGGCCGGCAGGACCATTGCCGGACCAGTCAGCAAATGAAATCGGCTTTTTCTAAAGGGTTTTTGCTGAAAAACCATCTCCTTCGTGAATACTATTTAGAATTTGACTGATCTAGCTGGTTAGTTTTAATTAAAAGTGAAATTCTAATTACGACGCAAATGATCTTGCCGGTCAGTTCTGACAAATGGAAAGCGCCCTTAGTCTCCCACATTGGTGAGGGGCGTTGCGTGACGAGACAAAACGGCTGCATTGACTAGATCAGCACAGCACTCATAGTGTCCTACAATAATTTAATACCTCCCAACTCAAGGGCGTTTTCCCTTTGGAAAGGAATGTGTCACGTGCTGCTTGCCATGTACAAACCTTCCTACCTTCTAAACAAACCTTACTCGCATTTGACCAGGTCGCGTGCTTTAAACCTACGAAAATCTATGTGCCGGTCGCGAAACAAAGAATTTTGCCACACTCATGATTGAAACTAATTAATAATTTGTTTTATTTTTGACATGTCAGGAATGACAAAGAGGTCGTAAGCCCCGTCTAGCAACAGTTTCAATTATTCTGACTCTGCGGGATGTAAAAGACACACCAGGGATGTAACAAATTCCCCCACTCTCTCTCTCTCTCTCTCTCTTTCTCCCCGTGATCTTGGGTGGGCAATCCGTAGGAAACAGGTAGGAAAAGATCTTAATTCAGGGATAAACCCTCGCATTCTCCTTCAGGGTGATTAAGCAGCTCCCTGCAAACATACATTAGATATGAGTTTTTTTAGGTTTACCTCGGTGTATGTAGCCTGGGAATGCAGATGTATTTCTGGTCGTCCCTTTTCTCCACCCGGAAGTAAGAAAAGCGACGACCGGAAATAAGTCTGCATTGGCAGGCTACGGTGTAGGAACCTGGGAACTTTTTCTTTGCCTCGCATCTTTACTCGTGAGTTTTACAGGTTCTTACACCGAGGGTGAGCCAGTTTTTTTAGGAGTTTTGGTTTGTTTCATCTTCAGGTTCAAAAAGGAATGGAGACGATCATTTTAAAGAAAATTGCCACAGATGTTTTCTATAACGGAGGGTGCGTAGCACCGCACACACTGAACGTCTACAAAATAATTTATTTTCATGTTTTAAATTATTGCACATGAAACTGTATATAATTATTTATTAGTACAGGATGTATTTTAATGTGTATAGACGGGGACCCATGGGCTTCTGGGATAGTACATTCTGTTGACAGCTTTTCCTTTGTATTTCTTTTCTTGAATAATGTGATACAAGGAAACTTTAACGTTTATACCATTGTTGCGAGTCTAAATTTAACTTCTTTTCTTAGTAAGTGAAAGGAAAGCTGAAGGCTGT